TGAAGTAAGGATGTTGGTTTGTAGTAATAGTATCCATTTGGGTCTCTCATACCAAATGCGCACATGTCTAATGTTCCATAGGTTACGGTATGCTTCATGAGAAGGCGCTGAAAGTGTTTGGTAAACCAAATCTTGGAAGTCGCAGGATTTTCAATGATGAAAAATCTGCCATGTTCAATCTGATAAAGAGCGACTCTTGCACAAAATTCTACCATGGGAAGATACTTTTTCCTTTTTTGATAAGTATCAGCAGGATCATTAATATTCTGCATTTGACTCCATGGTCCACAAACAGGTGCCATGTGGATGATTTTTGGCTGTTGTCGCTCAATGACTTCCATTGCCTTTCGCCGGCCTTCGGCAGTGAGCAAGTCGTAACCTGTGCGGAGGTCTATTGGAGCGCCGACTCGAAGTCCTTGCATTGCTGCCGCTTGACTAAGCTTGGCGGAGCCGCTAAACAGCTCAAGGAAATCTAATTTTCCGGTCATAGCTGGCTCCCATGTATAACAACCATATGTAATACCTTCAGGACCTGTCTGAATGGCATCGTGTTCTATGATGTTATTTGCATGGTCATCTGAGCGGCAAGTGGACTTCACTGCTGTACAGGCGCCCTTGGCCGAAGATTCGGCACCAGCGGCAGCTTTGGCCGAAAAGTCGGCACTGGCAAGTGCAATTGGTTCTAAAGGAATGTCTGTATCCTCAATAGGATTATGGTCCTTTCTTATTTTACTGATATTGACCTTCACAATTCTGGTTCCTAAATCAACTCCAACCATACTGCCATCTACGGAAACCAACTTTCCTTTTATCCATTTTCCTCCATGTGAACCGTCTGATTTGATTTTTGATTTGTCTTCGGTCCAATAGTAAACTTTATCTCCAGGAAAGAATGGTCCATCACTAAGTTGAAGTTTACTCGCAATATCTCTTCGAAGGTCATCTGATTGTTTTGCCTCTAGAAACTTTCGCATCGCCAGTGACCTTAGTGCTTCAATCTGTCTCTCAGGAGCAGGGGCCTCAGTCGTGAGCTGAGCTGGATTCATGAGCTCAATCGCCGTAAGATCGGCAGGTCTTCTGCCAAATGCTAATTCAATAGGAGTGACACCACCGAGTGTTACCATGGTGTTCCTTGAAATGCAGGCTTGTCTCAACAACTGTTTATAAGTAATGTTGGCAAGCAATGGATCATCTTTCAAGGAAATTAGCATTAATGAGACCTGTTTCTTAAACATGCGAATGGCTGCCTCAGCTCTATTTGGCCATGGTGTTCCTGGTCCTACAGAGATTGGCCTGATGCTGTGCCGGTTGTAGTAACTCTCCATCTCTATGCCCATGAAAGCTTGATCGGCAACAATGTATTTTGGATTCAGCTGATAAGTTTCAAAGTATTCTTGAAGATGGGAAATCGTCACCGGATCAGATCTGTTTTGAACTACAAAAGCAGTAGTCAAGGAGGTAGCACCATCATACATAAGTAGGAATTGAAGTTTTGACTGTTGATTGATCGGAACTTCTCCATGATCAATGAAGGTAAGTTCACCAAAGACTTCACTTCGGATTCCTGAAACCTTAGCTCTCGATGGTGCAATCCTGGCAGTGGAACATGTGTCACATGATTTTGTAATCTGATCAAATTTGTCACAGATTTCTTTTGGCAACTTCAGAGCCGATGTTCTTCTCTTGAATTGTTCAGTGGTCATGTGATAGTGCTTCAAATGCAACTTGAGAAGTTCAGTGGGTGATTGAAGCTTATCATGAATTCTCTGAAGTGCTAGTGACAAAGTTCCCTTAGGTGACGGTTCCTTTTTCTCTTCAAGTTTTACTTCAACCTTAGGTTCCGGTTTGACTTCAGTTTCTCCTTCAATCTGAGGTTCCCGACGTCTTGGGATACCGTCCTTCGAACCGGAACTTGGCCCAGAGGCCACCATTGGCTCTTCATCGGGATCAAAAGGTTGAGCTGGTACTTCTAACTTACTATCAGGCTGAATTGTTTTCTTGACAATCTTCTTGGAATCAGGCTTGGCCGATTTCGGCACCTCTTCAAGGCTTAGGCTCTGATCCTTTGAATCTCTTGCAACCTTCCTTGTTGGTGTGTGGTCGATGTTTACCATTGCATGCTGGGCATGTGATGTCTTCGGACTGAAAGCTGTACATCGGTTTCCAACTGGAAGTAGCAAGAGCCATAATGTCAAGGACTGGATGGTTGGATGTACTGACCGCCAATGCGGTGCGTTGCATTCCAAACAGTGGACAAGTCATGAACTCACCTACAGGAGTGTGCTCAATGTTCATGCGAAGATTCCTCATTTGTTCAACTGAAAAGAGGATAGGAACCTTACCTTTGTCCAGGATGTCAACGCATGTTGTGATCCAACCAGTTTGTGCACGATCATTGCGAAAATGAATCACTAACCTTTCCTTGACTGTAGATTGTTCTCCATTGGCAAATGAAAACTTACTTGAACATGGTTGCTTAGAAAACCAAATGTGATCATGCTTGGGATGTTGTTGGCAAGCCTGTACAAGGCGATCTATGGCAAAGCGAGATCCCATGGCTCGAGTGCAACCTGAGTCAAGGATGACATAAGTCGGATGAGAACCTAAATCTACATATTCACAAAGCAATGCTTGTTGGGCACCATGATCATAATTTAGGAATACACACTCTTCCGTAGAGACGGAATCGAGCGGGCTTGTGCGCGGCTGAAACGAATGCAGATCACCGTTTCCGGTAGAAACACTCTTCTCAACTTGGCGAATGCTCCTCAATAGGGACCTGTTCAAATCAGAAAAGCACTGGTACATCACAGACACGAACAGAAGCACGAATGTGAGGGCCTCTACAAGTTCGTGTCCGAACAATCGGAACAAGCGGATGCCTGAAAAACAGAACCGGTTGATCTTGTCGGTCTGTCCGTCCTCGAAATTGACGTCTGAATGCTTGTCCTCGGAGTCGGTCAGTTCCTCAGCGGAAGCAAAGTACGACCAATTGTACCAATCACCTTGGGAGTAATCTCCGTCATATCCATAGTAGGATTCATAACCTGACCAGTCATCTGTCCAGTATGTGTCATAGTCGTAACTCCAGCTTTCTTCGGCATGGGCTGTTTCTTGTTTTTCAGGGGCATGTGATGTACTGGATGATGCAGCCTGTGCTACATTAGCTTGTGGAGGTTGTGACAAAAATGGATTGGTTCCTCCTTTGTTCTTCGCATCACTTTTTCCTTTTCCTTTCCATGAAGGCATTCCTTTGAAAGAATCCTTTCCTTTCATCATTCCTTTCTTGCCCTTTTTACTTTTTCCCTTGCCCTTGCCTTTTGACCTCGAGCGGAAGCCGGGTCTTGATTTCTTTCCTCCTTTCTTGCCATAACCTTTTGGTCTACCTTTCTTGAAGGACCTGCCGTAGATGCGGCGCTTAGAGTATGAACCCTTGGCGCTGAGAACCCAGAACTCGTTCTCGGTGTACAGACCTGTGAAACCTTCTTCACCCGTCTCTTCATCGAAGACCCAAAATCCGTACTCACCTTCTTCGGTCTCGCCCTCGTCGATGACGTAGAAGTTAGACCGCTTGCGGTGCGTGATATTTGGGTCTGCAACACCTGTGCGGGAAACGGCAAAAAGTTCTAAGAACAGCTGTTTCACTTGGAGATAGGTGTATTGAGGCATTGCAATCTGACGGATGTTCATGGACGAGACAAAACGCTCTCGTTGTTGCTCGTTGAGGTCTGCTTGCACTAGAAAAATCAGTGACATCAAATTGTCTGACAATGGAAACTGCTGTGCATGTCTGGTCCTTCTATTGGTTATGGTCTGTTCTCTCAGTTCTTGTTGATAAGCTAGCTTATCTTCATCTGTTACTATCTGGTTATAGTGCAGTCTTTGCTCATCTGTGAGTGCTGCCGTAAATGCCTGAGTGCCTGCCTCGGGGAGATCGGATATGTCCAGCAGATCGGACCAAGAAGCCAACAAGCGCTTCTGCGCGATCTCAAATCGCCCTATCCAGTGCACGAATTCACTCTGGCCTCGATATGTGCGAAACATCTGGAGGAATCGCCAAAGGAACACATGATTTACTCCCTTCACGAAGTATGGTCTCAATGTGTCCTTGAAATGAGCGAGGCCACGATCCGGATCTCGGAGTAGGGCATTATCGAGCATCGACTTATAAAAAGAAGCGAAACCAATGAGGGCATTCTTTAAGGATGGTCCATGTTTATCTGCATCCAATGTTGTGATCCCTAACCAGTCATCAATTAAATCTTCATATTCAAACCAGCTTGATTGGCCATCAAATTGGGGTGGAACCTTCGGTGTCATTTTGATGCCCATCCGGTTTTCGGAATGACTGGTGGCAGCATGCTTCAGGCTCTTCATACGAGACAATCTGGAGTTGTTCTTCATCTGAATCCATGTTGTGGATTAAGACCATGGCAACTACTCTAACTTGACCTACAGGTTGCCTCCGCAAGTCCGATATACGGAATGTATGCAGAGAACGGCAGTTCGGCACACAGATCTAGACTTGGCGAAGGCACAGGCTCCGCTACCACTTTGAGGTAGCTTTTCCCTCTATTAGGGGAGCCCTGGAAACCTAAGTAAACACCTGTGGCAAGCGGAAGCGACTACACTCTTTTTGTACACGCGGAATTGCTGCTAGTCTTGAGCCATGCGGAGTGCGCATGAGAGATATGAATTAAGTATACATGTCAACATGCATGAATGCATTGTGAAGACACGTAAACAAAAATAAATCACAGGGGGAAAAGTGAAAATTCCCTAGCTTGGGGAGCCCCCACGGGGGGGGGGAAAGTGAAAATTCTTAGCCTGGGGAGCCCCCACGGGGGAAAACCACCCTTAGCCCCTCTCACGGACCGAAATAAACCTGCGGTGTGGGCTGCCACCCCACGCGAAGCGGGGTGAATATGGTTTTGGTATGTTTTGATCATTTTTGATCCATCCACATGTCAGATTCTGCTTCGTGGCAACGACGCTCTGAGGTACCGCTTGACGAATGAATGGCCGGTTGTGTGGTGCGAGGAGAAGGTGCCGTGGGTGGAGCAGTCATAAGTAGTCAACATGTTATTATCTGGCGTACGTCCAAAAGTAAAGAACCTCTAGAGTTTGTGGTTTCCTCTTTTTTGTTGTTGCTCAACAGGGCATGCAGATGGTTTTGATCGTGACAACCCCGGGTCAGGAGAAGATGTTGAAAGAGTGAAGGCTGGGTCCGCGAAAACGCGGCATGCTCCACAAGCCATATCATTTCAGCAATTGAAGACCCGCAAGCAATGTTATTCGGAACAGAAACATCCCAACAGATGCAGTGGTCATCAATTTTAAGTCTCGATCCCAGAGATCCTTTGAAACCTGGCCATGCAAGGCCGTCGGGTTCGGCTGCTTCCCATTGATTTTTGTAGAAATGAGCGGCCGTGGTGAGAAGTAGCAAAGAAGCAAGAGAGCAACATTTGGAATGTGGATCTCTGCCAAGAATCAGTCTATGTATTGAGTTTCTCTTCTATTCTCTGGCCAAAAAGCATTTTCCCAGAAAAGAAACACAGTGGTATGAAGTTCTGTCTCAAGACAGTCCATCAGTCTTATGACCAGACAGCTAAGGGCTCTCAGCTTTTTGATGGTTGTATGGTGCGGATGAAAAGACCGTCCTCGCAGTGTCTAGGGGCGTTTGTTCTGCTTCCATTTTCTCAACAGTTTTCAACATTGGACATTCAAGAGGGAAGATCGTTCGAATAGCTTTGGATAGGCCTGCTTGATCTGAGTCATACACGTGATCTTCTCCGTGTTTGGAATGTAGCACATGGCTTGGGGATTTTGTGAAGCTTGGGGCTTGGAGGACTGAAAATAA